CATTTGTTAAAGTCAAACGTTTGGGCTCCAAGATGGCGGACGAGTCAGCTCACCTTTATGTAGTAGCTATAGCCCAAGTCGTTCCTCGAAACGAGACGAACACTAACGAAACTTGCGGCGAGATAATAGACAGCGGTGTCGCAAATTTTAATATGCCCTCTTGCCCCCCCGAACCGCCTGATATCCGCCTCCTCGGAGATTGCCCCGGAGTTTGCCGCAAAACCGCGGCAAACGGATTGGAGCCCCCGTCGTTAGGCAGCCGCGTTAAGCTTGCGAAATCCGCGGCGTGGAATCGCCCGCTCGCTCCGTGCAAGCGCGAGAAAAGGGAAGGAGAACGCGCGCGCGTACTTAAATTGCGACTCCCTCGCGCGCATCGGACTTGCAAAATGGGGACGGGTTTATTTTCGCGGATGACAAAGTGGCCAAACGCCATTACGGTGCGCGCGACCTCGTGCCTCGCGTCTCGATTATTTGTTCGCGATTTGGCAACGGAAGGATTAACGGCCGTGCTCGTGGAGTTTTGCAACGGCGCCTCTTAATTCAGGCTACGAGTCAGGGGGAAGTTGAACTACTCGCGCGCGATAACAATTGCTCCGGGAACGTAAAATCGATTTACGTTATTTAATTAGAGCGTACTCTGGGGAAAAAAAGACAGTTAGCAACCCATTTTGGGGCCCACAAGTCTGTCAATTCGTGAAAACGTCTGTGCAATATGCAAATCATGTGGCTTTTGTGTGCAGACCGACAGTGTCCCACTAATCGGACTAAATCTGCAGGGACCAGCATGGTATCATCTATTCACTCGAACGTTACGTTGCATAACTTATTCGAGCGAATAGATTTTTTGTTAGGCTTCTAAACTTAATTTCAATGATACCATACTGTTCTCTGATCTACGCACAGGCCGATTAGTCGCCGAGCGCAGTCGGTCTGCACACAAAAGCCACATAATTTGCACATCACACAAATGTTTTCACGAATTTACAGTTCTAGGAGCGAAAGATGCAAAGAGCGCAGGCTCGCCCCAGCATCCTTAATTTAAATTCATTAGCGAGATATCCCGCGAGCGTCGAGATAATAAAATTAAAAAAAAAATCGGGCGGGGAAAGGGAGAAAAACGCGCGCCGAGGTAGAATCGGGCGCGATTTAGCAACGTGTGTAAATTTCCCTGCCGCTTATGGCGAACGGCGCGTTGCCGGTTATTCCTTAATTGCTTCCTGATCGCGCGGCGCCGCGGCCGATCGACCCAGATTCCGATTTCTTTCCACGCTCGTGGATCTAAGCAGATCTGAGCGACACGCGGGCAGGATCGAGTCGGAAGCGGAAGCCACGCGATTTCACTCGGAAGCCCCCGCGAGTGCGCACACGTGCGCGTGTTCCGCGTGTTTTATTTTACTTTCCATCAGCCCGAGCGCGCACACGTAATGCAATCGCTAACGCGCGGGTAAAAATGCACCCGTTCCCAGAGCATCGTGTTGGAAACGCGCGAGTTCGTAATTACGCTCGCCGCAACGATCGAATCTCGTTCGGAACGAAGGAGCGCGGTAGAACGAGAAGTAACGAATTGTAAAATTGCGGGGTTTCGTCGAACATAAAACAAGATCTAGAATCGTAACTTGCGCGACCAAAATTAGACATTGCTTAATCCGATTGTGAGATAAAATTGTAGGCCTAGAGTTATTAATGTTCTCTCTCTCTCTCTCACTTTTCTCTTTCTTTTACGCAAAATTTGATATAAATAAATTGATAAATAAATTAGAAATGTGAATTTTACACTTATAAAAGTTAGAAATATCTCTAGTAGCACAGTAACACTGGCTAAGCATTGGCCCAATACGATATTGAGCCAATGTTTGGTCAATGCACTGTGCTACTAGGTAGGATGAATCGACATCGTTTCGACGAATCATTTCTTACTGGGTAGAAACTTATACGCTTTACTCTAAGTTTAAAGACAACTTAGGCCTGGTTTTTAATTTTCTGGCTAATTATTAGCCAGAAGTTGGTCGATTCTCTAACTCTTCCGAGATAATAAACTAAAAAAGGATGGAGAATCGACTAACCGCTGGTTAACAGTTTAACCACAGAAAATAAAAAAACTGGGCCTTAAAGAAAAGACAAAGTTGCGTGTTACACGCGAAAAAAAAACCCAAACACGATCACGCGTCGATTCGACTGCTCGACTTCATCCGTTCTGATTAAAGAAGAAGGAATCCGCGTTACGTTCAGGGTCAATGGGCGATTGCGACAGTTCCTCCGCGCCGTAATTACGCCCTTCGCGGTAATCACACGGTGCATTATCGCACGCGGCCACGTCGGATCGAGGCTGCGGTACAAAAGTGTATCGGGGCGTGCGTATAAAAACGGGAGCAGTGAACGTGCGCATGCCGCGCGCGTTGTAAGATCACGAGCGCGGGCGACAAGCCGCACGTGTCGGAGCGGAGATACCGGCGCGGACCGGGCCCGGGCCGCACGTGACCGGGGACCTCGCTTAGAAAGCAAGCCGAGGTTTCTCAGGAATGCCCATTTAGCAATCGCTCTCCGTCGCCGGCCCCGAATGGAAACGTTGATCGCCGCGATCGTGCCTGGCTACGCTCGGCGCGCCGAAAGAACGACGTCGGCAGCGAGTCCCGTCAACTTGTTAACTTTTTCTATAACGCGCCGAGATTCGCAAACGGGAACGGGCGAACGGTGAAATTGAACGCGTTAAGACAATCCGGAGCGCACCTACGATACGAGCAGGAAAAGATTCATTTTCCTGGGGGTCGCACTTTTCATCGGAGCGTCGATAGTCAATTTTTGCTTAATTAAGAACGGGCGAAGTTAAACGTTGGATTCAATCGAATCCGTCTTGCTCGAGAGCGACGGCGCAAAATAAATCTTGTCGCTTTTTACATTTGTGATTGCATCGGTGGTAACTTATAGCCGCTCGTTATATTTAGATTGTTCCATTATCATATTGGGGAAATCTTAACTAAACTAATACCCTAGTAGCACAATGTATTGGCGCAATATTGGGAAATAATGTAAGTCTAGTATTCCCAATATTGGTCCAATATTGTAAGATGGACGCCTTCTCCTTTCTCTTATTTAGCCAAATATGTTCAGTAATATTGGTCTAATATTGTATCAATTTTAAACCAATATTCTTATTACATTGTTAAATATTGGCCAATGCACCTCCAATAGAAATCTAATATTATATAATTATTAATGTACAATATTTACATTCATTCCATAGCTAATATTGGCTTTACGATGGACAATATCAGCTAATGCATTTCTATTATAACCGACATTGGGCCAATGCTTAGCTAATGTTTAGCCAATGCACTGTGCTATTAGGGTACTGATGTAAATTTATATATAAAATGTGCTTATACAATTTTTTTTCTCTTATATAATCTCTGTCCGCATACGCAAGAAAAATAGTAGCAAGAAGAATTAAAAGAAAATATAAGGGCGATTTTCGCATTATTTTTTTCACACAAAACTAAAAATTACCCATACGTAATCACGTACAAAATATTGTATAATCTCTAATCACAATTTTACTTGTAAAAAAAAGACCATCCAAGAGTTATTCTTCCTGTTACGTTTCTTATATATACGCACAGATATTGTACAAGAATAAGAAAACGCATATGGACATGTTACGTACACAGTCATACGTGAAACATATTTTTTACCCGGGCGTTACGATTCTTCTGTATGAAAGCTGTGGCTTCCAAGTTCCGCTTATCAGATCTGAGTGAAAGTTATTCTGTTCCGAAATATGCTAATCGGGATAGTGACTCTCGCTTTTTCGCGTGTACGCTGCACATCAGGTGTACCGCGCACGTAATATAACGCAACGTAATATAAGCGATATCCCAATTACAACCGGGAGTACCTCGGCGCAAGGATGCCGTAGGGAACGTATAGACGGTGCAAACAGTTATACACTTTCACTTGAATCTCGCTCAGCTTTACGGCTTAAGAGATATACACGGTGTCCACTGTCTTCCTCGTCGAGGTCACATCTCTCGATTATGCAAGGCGATAGTATCAGAGCGATAGGCAACCCAGGTAGCGCGTGATGGTGCATATACGCTTTATACATCGTCTTTGCATAAGAAAAGCGGCGCGAGTAAAAAGTATACGTTTTATCCCGATAGCAAGATTTTCATGCATTTATATTTCACGCATAAGCATGTATAAATGTATATAATTCTATAAAATTATGTATCAGATATGTCCATACATGCTTTTACACTGTGTATTTCTGTACAAGTCTTAATAATTCTATGTAATTCTATATAATTCACCGTGTTTTCTAATTGTAAGAGCAAAACCCTCCTTTCAAATGTCCTAAAGAATTAACGAACATCGCGATGTGCATAAAAAATGTTAACGTGTAATTAAAGAAATCTGTAATCGCGGAGTAGTTTATGACGGTTTCTCTTCCTTCGATCAGTCAATCCCCGTTCGTCTCAAATTTTCAATTAAAGGCGGATGGCAATTAAAGGTCGAAAGTGACTCGGTCAAAAATTTCGCTTCGGGTGACTTCGCCGCTGTCTGCAGCAAGCTTGTTTGTTGCATCGCCGTCTCGGATGCGACTGAATTCCCAGGCGTATCGTGAGACGAGGATGACATTCACTCGTCCGTTTACGGCGCGCGATCGTTCGAAAGAAATATTTCTGCGATCCACGCGTGCCTCGCACAATATCTACCGTTTGCTTTTTGGTTGGCGAACTTTAGGCCGGGGCTATACTGAAGAAATGTCGCTTTATTTACAAATGTTATTTTTACGTCTAAAACCGGAAACGAGGCATCTTCTCGCTTGTTATTGTATTTGATCTTCTTTTTCTCTACGGATTTCAGGCAGAATGAGTCACGAAATTCACCAGAGCGGCTATCGCGATTATAAAATTAATGTATAATAATATGATAAAAATGCGGAATATATTTTTAATAAAAACGCTAGATTATATACATCGCAACCGAAATTTTATGAAATAGCTGCGAAATTTTTAGACGTCAAAAAATATGAAACCCATTGCCATCTACCCTCGCTAGTTTCCTTACAGAAATGTAAGCGAAATAATTACTAGAAAATTACTGTACATCAGTAATTTCTAATAATTCAATCACTGAACTCTAGTAATTGTTAAGTGCTTTTTTCGTTCCTAGTTGTTACACTTCTGTAAGAGTTGCCTTTTTATTAGCTTGAATTAATTCTCTTTATTATTGTGAGAATTGTCTGAGTGGACGTTTTAGAATTTAAAAAAAAGTGGAGCAAAAGTTGTCGCTTTAATAGTCTGGTCTCTTTTAGCATCGAAAGTTCGCGACAGAGGTAAGTTCGGTCCGATGTCCTTCTTGCTTCTCTAGCTGGAAAATTTCGTCGCATCATCTTCTCCTCCTACAAATTAAGCGCAAGATACGGACGAATACTCTCTCGCGCTTTCTCTCGTATTCAGCTTACATGAAAGTGACACGATTCTTTATTCATTGGTTGTCTTGATCGTCGCGCGTTTGTCCCCGAACATCTCTCGCGAGCCGAAGAATGTGTACGTACGCAGTACCTGCGCACGTGCGTTCTGAACAGTTTAATTCATTCTGGGTGAAATTTCGATTAAATTCCGATTAATTTAATACATTTTGACAAAAAATAATCGAGGCCCAAGGTCAGACTACGCATTGAGATTGAGATTAGATTGAAATTTTACCAATGAGAGTAAAGTTGATTAATCTCAAGTTTAGTAAATTTTACTCGGATTGGTGTCAAGTTTCAATCTGATCTCAACCCGTAATCTGATACGGGCTTTAAGATTCAAATTTCGCAACTTCAGTCCGATTAATTATTTCCGGGTTACAATCTCCCAGATGTGAAATATAAATCAAATTTAATTCACATTACGAATTTAAAAGTGGTATCATTTTTTCATTCTGCTCGGTAAACAACGCAAATTTTTTTTATAGTGCCTCTCAACGCCTCCGCGAGATATTCGCCTTGGAGCTGTTTCCATAAACAATAGAAGTTAACTGATTACCTGTCTCTTCTTACAGTCACGCTTAAAAAGAAGCACAGAGTCATCCAAGTGCCAGTTAACTTTTAACTGACATTGATGGAAACAATGAAACTCTTTTATTTTTGACTTATCAGATTTAAAAAATATATAACATAAATTAAACTGATTAAATATTTTGTTCATAAATCTTAAAAAAATATAGAGAAACTCTATATAGGAAGAGAATGTAAATAAGATGAATTCTTATAGAAAAAGATAAATACATACATGTAGAAAGAAGAGAGCAAGTATTATCAAACATACTCTTATCGCAAAATAAAAATATAACGTTGCTATTTGTATATCGTGAGCTGAAGATGCGAATAAATATGCAAAGTTTGGGTGACACAGGCACAGAGACTTAACAGTTATCCTCCCACGCGGCGCGGGGTTTGACAGGAAATAACGGAGTGGAACGTCCGTCTGTTCTTACGTACCGGATCGCGCGGAACGCAATTATCCCGGGCTTGATTTGGAGATGCTCGACTCGCTGACAACTCGCGGTGCACGGCACTCGGCATGCCAGCTCACCTCAGACTGATTGTACGGGTCCTGGGACTGTGTCGCGGGGGCCCGCGCGATTGCAGCTTGCTTTCACTTGGCGAATACCGTAAGCGATACCGCCGCGATGATCGCCGATCGCTGATAAAGACATGGATTTTCGACTCGGCTTAACGGCTGAATGCTTGGAGAGTTTCGCGTAGAGTCCATGAGATTTAATGGTATTCCGTTACGTTACGATTGAATATTATGTATACACGTGCGTTGTAAAATATCTCATCAACTTAACAGCCTTAGGTCTGAATTTCTCACTTTTGATCGTTACATTTGGTAACGTTGATCATTCTCAGTCTCTCATGTGATAAATAGAGATTTAGATATTGATACTGAAATAATACACATAATTAATTCTGGATGTTACGTTACATCGAAATCCTGCATGCAGTGATTATTATCGCACATCATGGCAGTCGACAATTGCAATATATATTGTATATAAAAATATAATAATCTGATATTCAAGATTGTATCGATATACGATTAAGGAGATCTATAGAATTATTTGTATAAGAAAAATTGTTTTATCTCTTTATGATAAAATGTGTGATAATCTGCACTATATTTTAATGCAAAATGTATGTATAGCTTACTAACCAAAAAGCCTATTAATACGTCCCGTTTGATGTCTTCATATTATATATTAACATTAAATAAATGTTCAATAAAAATATTTGCTTTGTTTTGCATTTTGTACATTAGGCCTTTTCCTTTCGCAAATCACATAAAATTAGTTGGGCATGAAACGTGTGAATAAAAAAAGTTATATATAAAATATACGCGGTGTTAATATAGTAAAAAGATTATATGTAAAATAATTTACAGCCCAATCATTGAGATAAAAAAAAAGAAATTCCCAGCTCAATCATTGTAAGATAAAAAAGAAATTCCATGATACGTAAACGGTTAGAAAATCCTTCAGCATGAATCGTCGTCCTCCTCTTCGGTGGGAACATCTTCCCGATGCTGTTTCGGATTCCATCGACGCCAGAGTAACTCTCTCACGGTGAACTCGGAAAGTATTTCGGGACTAGTTCCGCTGATATCCCGAGATACCGACGACGGCCACAAAACTTGCGCGAAAAGTATTTCCTAATATTCACAAAGATAAAACACATTATATATTCCGCAGTAATTTGGAATGGTTCTCTCCACTCCAAACGGTTCTCTCTAAATCCAATACATCTATTATATTTAATACGTAGATGCACGTTTACCTTAGCAGTAGTTTCGGACAGCCTTTCAAATCCGATCAAACTGTTCCACGTCATAGATCGCGAGGACATGGTAGGATCTATAACTAAAGAGTCCGCGTCTGCTACTTCTACTATAACGATGTAAGAAGCATGATAAAACGGTGGTCCATCTTTATAAAGCACTGAAACATTAACGCATAGTTGTAATATAAAATAATATAAAAGTAGAGGAAAGTCCTCCATTATAAGTTTCTAATGTGAGATAGCAGGTTTTCGACACCCAAATTCAATCACAAGTCTTCTTTCGCAACGATCGCACAATCTAACAGTGAATTTTCCACCAAACCAATTTCACTCCAAGGGCAATAAATTCGTGGTTGAATCAACGAACGATGTCCATTAATTTAACAGAAACTCCGCTATTTCATATTAGGAGCCTATCTCGTAACATCGGACTTTCCTCTAAATATATAAGAGTAATGAATACTAACAAAAGTCGGCGCCGTATTTAATGCCGGGTTTGACCACCCAACCTTTGCTTCTATAATAATGATACACTACATATTTCTGTAAGAAGTCCGGCTTCTCCTTGCAAAAGTATAACCACGCACTGTTGATGTCCAGCAGACTACCGTCGAAGTGGATCACCTGCAGGCAACCTAATCCAAAGAGCAAGAAAAAGGTCTCCTCGAAGGTGAGGTGCAGAGCCTCTCGAACGGGGAAGCCCTCGCTCTCGATTCTCGGCTTGATGTTTTTCAAATAATTCTCGGTGTCCGAATCGCTGTCCGGCAACACCAAAAGTTTCCCGTGCTGATTGTCATCCTCGTTCATGCAGTCGCTCTTGAAATCATAATAATTCAATTTCCAGAGTTCTTCCTCCTCCTCGTCTTTCCTCTCCTCACTGCTGTTCTTATTGTCGTGAGCGTTCGCTGAACTTCCTGTCTTGATACTATCCGCATTATATTTATCCGAGTCTCTATTGACAATGACGCATATATCGTCCTCCTCCGCGGAATCTAGGGTGACTTCATCGATCTCGATGCTCTTCGCGTCCATCTCGTTTCTCGGCTTGCTCCCGTTTGCGATAGAATTCGATGGGATCTCAACGACGTCGCCGATGTTCTCTTCATCCGGGATGTTTTCTTCCTCGCATTGAGCAATTGCTTTAGCATCTGTAACTACACAATACATTCTCACTGTACTTTAATAACATTATCATCATCTTTGAATGTTATTGATGTACAAGACACAATCTTTGTTCATTAATACTTTGCAGCGTAACACATTGTATATAACGTGGGACATTTTATTTTACACACCTTTGAAATCGGTAGTGTTCAATTCATTGACTTCCTTGAGCCATTTTTGTCTGCAAAGCCATTGCCTGTTTCGAACAACTGGCGGTGCTCCGTACCTCGCTTTGCCAAACGACGGATAGCTACGCGACAGCGATCCCTTGCCGAAAAACCCCTGTAGACAGAGTTACTTATTTCTGTTGTATTTGTAAAAAAAAAAATTACTCCGACACAATCTATTCCATCTTCACCATAGAATGCACCGCAGTCATCTCTTCAGGTTCAATTATGCATGAGCCTATATCTGTGAGATGCGCCGTGTACACTGGCCATTCTTCCGTTTCGTTCAGTGGGATGGGAAATGGCAACTGCGGCTTCAATTTCGTTCTTTTCTTCTTCGGCTCTCGTAAATTCATGTCTCAACTACAAACGGACGACAGCGCGAGGTTTAGAAAAGCAATTGTTACATGTAAATATATCGCCAAGTATCCACTGCAAAGAATCAACACATTCTTGCACAGCATTATTAATTGTTGTTAACGACAGAAATTAATTTAAGTGCCTCGCAATTCATTCCAGTATAATATAAGCAATCTACAATAAATTTCAGAAATCAAATAAAGATTTCGCGATTAAAAAGAATTAATAAATTTCAAAGCGAAGCAATGACTTTTCCTTTTACGTAAGAAATGTAACTTCTCTTTTTACGTAAGAGATATAACAATTAACTTTACATAAGAAAAATACGACAATTAACTTTCCACAAGACGGAGAGATGCAACGTTAACCTATAGAAATAAATATTACTGAGTACTTTACATAAAAATTATTTTATGCGGGATTTCAAATGCATCTTTTAAATACTGTAGAACGAGGAAAATATATTTTCACGCTCGTACCGCGCTATTGTTTATTATCGATAATTGAGAAAGATTTACCTTTTCGAATGACAACCGATGACTAGAGAGAGTCAAGAACACGGACTTGCCGAGTTCTGTTCCTGATCCTCAAATGCGATATGTACGACCTCTGTGGATATCACGAAACGTGGACGTGAACTACGTAGCCGATGTCCACGCTTTGCCAAGTGGGTAATGCAAATTTACGAAATTTTCTGTCGAACCTGTACTTCTTTTCCCTTATCGCATTTTTCTCGNCAAAATCACGCGCGACATTCATCCCGACAAACCGTAGAAATCAATTAATATAATTACGGATCG